CTGGTACAGGAGGAGATTGTCCCTCCTTCTCTAGCAGAGTATCTGGTGAATTCGAACCAGGCACATCTGGGATTGTAGTGTAGCTTCTTGCCACTAGGTCACCAGAGCTCCCTTAAAAAGTGCTTTTTTTTTTTTTTAAAGTGCTTGTCTTTAAAGACAAGATACACTTGATAACTTAGGGGAACAGCAAACCTATCTGCCATTTTATGTTCACTCAGGATATAATATTCATTGAGAAGAAAGATAGAATCTATTACATAATATCTCTCGATTACATGAATATTATCCAAGTGCGTCCTATTTATAGAAATTCAGAAGGGCATACAGTTAATTGTTATAACTGAAGATCCTAACATTTTATTTATTTGATACATTAATGTGGTACGAATGCTCTAAGTTGCTGTTAAGTCAGAACACATAGCGAACTCCCCAGTGGGTTTTCAGAGGCTATAATTTGCACAGGAGGAATTTGCCCATCTTTCTACCCTGGAGCAGATGGTGGATTTAAACTGCCTGCTTTTGGGTTAGCAGCACAACTCCTTACCCCCTAGTCATCCAGACCCACTAGCGAACCAAAAAGAAAGTAGTAAAAAATAAATTGGATCTTGAGTATGGGAAATACTCCTCAGAGTGAAAACATTTAATACTATTAAAATATGTTTATAACTCATAAAAAGTCATTAGAAAGTGACTCAGTAATTCAGTTTAAAAATTCTTTTCTGTTCCATAGGAGTCAGTAACAGACTATACAACACCTTCTTCTTCTCTGCCTAACACTGTGGCTACAAATAACACAAAGGTGGAGGATACATTGGTTAATAATGTAAGTAATTAAAATAAGACAGTATGGAACAGAACTTAACTATTATTTAGTGCTATTATCTTATAATGTACTCACATGTATCCAATATTTGACTCTTTGTTTAGGAACACTAATCTGCAAAGATAGTAAATACCATTTTTACTTGTTTTTCCTAAAAGCCTTTAGCTTTCCATTCAGAATTACTACATGGGGTAACTAGGTTTAGTTTTGTACATACTAATCCTATTTAACCAGGTTTTGTTAAGAATATTTGGTCTTTACCACTCATTCTACAAAATGAATATTTTGTTTGGTTGATGATTTTGTATAAATGAAATCTTTACTTAATGTAGTGAAACCACACAAACTTAAAACTAAAAGTCAATTGGTGGTTTTGAAACACTGATCTTTTCACTGGACAGACTGCAGCCATTTTTAAACTGGGCCATAGTTTGACAGAGCAACCGCATTACAACTCAAAATTGTGTTAAAACCCAATTCAGGTCACAATTTTTTTTCTCACATATGGAAAAGATGAGTCTAGAAAATTAGATAGTTTCCATAATCACTGGATAATTTAGAAGATCATTTTACAAGTTATTAGTACTGCCCTTTTTTGGGGGGAGAGCCAATGTGGAGAAAATGTTAACAGCTGTGGGTTTGGGGAGGTGGGGAGTATTTTATGCCTCCTGAATTTTATTTTTTAATTTACTACCTTTTTTTAGTAAAAGTTGTTTCTTCATAAACATTGTATTTCTCACATTCATTGTGTCTTTTAAAATTTAACCACCATTGACCTATACCCAGTATTACCCTATTTTTTTCAGATCCCACTGGATCATTACTAATTCCTTCACCCCTTCCCTCTGCCCACTAAACTCTGCGACCTTATGGTTTACCCTCTTCCCACTCCCATCCCCTCCCTTGTCGCCTCTCCTTCTCTCTTTTGCCATTTTTTTTATATTTT